CACAAGACAAATGGTGACAGCAGTGTGGATGCGGATGTTTTCAACCGTGACGTTTTGGACGATGCTCTTGATGAAATTGGAGTTGTGATTGATGAATAGAAAGCAGTCCCTAAAAACATAAAAAACTGCCTCACTTCAGCACAGTTTTTATTTACCCCTCAGCATGTCCTCGGGGAATAAATTCCCACGCACAACGCCTACGATCCATCATGGACCCAAACACGCGGTAGCGAACCCGTGTCGGAGGAGTCTTCTCTAGATTATTAAGAATATTTATTTGTATTTATTTTGACGTACTTCGAGAACCAAAATTGCTATTTTCACATTGTCACTAAAATATTATGTTTTTCTGAAAAAAAATCCGGTTTTTTTTGGCTTGAGTCCGGTGCTAATAAATAGAAGACCGGATTCTGATCGGGAAAATCCGTTAATGATACAATAATTATTAAAGAAATAAAATGAGCTATGAAAATAAAACTGTTACATTCGAGTAAGCAAAAATCTCCAAAGCATAGCTAAGAGGGTTAAATTATTCCAATAATCCACTTTTCTTCTTGATTCTGTTGTCGCTGTGTTGCATCAAATTCCTCTGAATTGTAATGGCGACGTTGAAATCACTCTCGTCTTTCATCCTTGCATCCAATATGCAAGTGTATTTGAGGCTTTTGTCCTAAAATAAAGGCGTACGTATCTTGCAGTGGGGCTGCCGTAGCTCTTTTGCTTGATGGAAGCTCGGTTGAGGTCAATGACTTTTGTTCTATACATAGAACCAGTACGAGTGTAGCGGATCGCAATTCACTTACTCCAAGAGTAATTGCAACCATAACCGAAGGCTAATTATGCAGCGGGGCTGCCGTAGCTTTGCGCTTTGAGGAAGCGTAAGTGAGGTCACCGACCTCTCGTTCTATACTCAGAACAAATACGAGTTTAGCGGATCGCAATCCGCTTACTCCAAGAGTAATTATAATTTAACCTAAGGCTAATTAACGCTTCGTTTAAATTAAAAACTGACTTTATTTGTTTTCATCTGCGGCAAAGCCGCCTATTCTTATTTTTTAAATGCATAGATTTCCCTAGATATGTGTAGTAAAATCTAAATACATGTATAACTAC